AGACTAAAAACAGATACTTTTAGCCTATTAGGATTTTTTTAACTTACATCTATTGGCTGTAGAAACTTGTTCTCGACCTTGGCGCTAATTTGGGCGTTATCTTACATATTCTCCTCTATATCCTCGGCCTCTTTGGATTGCTGACTCATCTGAAAATATTATCCTATCTAATCTAATATTAGATAGATTTTTCAGCATATTCTTAGCCTATTTTAATCTATTTTTAGCTTTTTCTTTGTTTAAAATGGATTTTTTCTTTGCAATATTAATAGAATAGCCCTCTCTTTTTAAAAATCGCTGTAAAGTTCTAGTTGAAATATTGACGTCATTTTCAACTAATAATCGGCGATTTGTCTTTTTAGGGCTCCTAGTTAAGTCTCTATTAATAGATCTTTTATCTCTTTCTGAAAGCTTTAAAACTCCGCCTCTACTAACTCTTTCAAGCTTTCTTTTCTCATTTTTTTTCTTTCTAAATCGATAAATAGCGTCTCTAATAGCCTTAGGTGGCTTACTAAGTAAAATAGATATATTTTTAATGGCTATATTTGCCTTTAACAAACGGGCAACTTCAGCTTCAAATTTTGAAAATTTTGGATCCATAGTGAGGAATTAAGAAATCAGAAATTCAGGATAGAAAGAATCAAATATATAGTATATTATGACTAATCAGGCTTAGTAATACACTAAACTTAATTTAGTAACTTTGTCTTCAGAACTTGATATTTAGTTCTCGAGGATTGCTAAAAATAGAAAAAAAACATGTCACGTGATCTTCTATATATAGACCATCACATATCTCAAAACTAAGCCTTTTTAAGTAAGGACTATTGTTTTACAATAAATGAAATTTTTATTATTTTAGTCTCCTATATTCTATAATTTTTCTCCGCTCAGAGCTGCTGACTAAGCGGGAGGTGGGTTCACTATGCCAAACTAGGTGATCTTGGCTTTCTAGATCTGCAATCCGTTTATTTTTAGCTATTTTTTCTAGCTAGATATAAAAGTTTTAAAATAACAACTTTTCAAGTGACGTTTTTTTCGTGTCACCCCTCTGTAGTGAGATAAATATAGAAGAACATATCCCTATATTTATTTAATATTTTCTCTTTAAATAAGTTGTACTCCGGAAAGATCCAAGTTCTGGCCGTGGCCCTATTCTATCAGCTTGTAACTATAGTCTGCTTACGTAGATAGCGCACCAGTTCATACTAGGTCGGATCGGGCCAAAGTCTGGCGTTCAGTTCTCGAAGCATCCATCTAATCACGTGCTGATCTATTACTGGCATCAGAGCGAGTTCTTTTGTCTTCTGGGCGGCGTGGTGGGGAGGGTGGGTGTCTGTCGTGATAGCCTCAGTAGCAGTACTCATAACACCACGATCGTAGACATGGCCCCATCAAGGCATATGTTGACACAAGCCATTTTGTTTGATGCACTAACAACTTGGACGTCCCCATTGCAGGAGGATGCTATTCCGTACTATACTCAGTACTACCGCAGGCGTGGGCGACCCTTTATGCAAGAGAAGGCCCAAGGCCAGCAGTATCTCACCCCAGATGAAGAGAAAGCCCTTGTCGCGTATCTTTTGCTGATGTCTGAACTTGGACAGCCCGTCCGAATCAAGTATATACCCTCGCTAGCCTTTAGCCTCGCACGCCGACGGATGACGACGACCGGCAAACCTATCAAGCTCCCAGGCAAGAACTGGGCTCGATCCTTTGAGAGACGCAACCCTAGACTAAAAGGGAGGAAGGTGAAGGCAATAGACTGGAAACGACATGAGCAGAATATCTATACTAAGGTTACACACTGGTTTGAGGTTATTAAAGGAGTCCTACAAGACCCGAGGGTACGGCCTGAGAATGTGTATAACATGGATGAGACGGGCGTTATGCTGAACATGCTTGGCTCTGTTAAAGTCCTGGTAAGCAAGGATGACCTCCGTGACTACAGAAGAGTGCTGACGGCAGGTCACTGCTACCTCTCATTATCTGGCCAGCTTCGACCCATAGGAGTAACCGGACTACCTTTTCAACCCCTGGCTAGCGTTATGAACACTCAGAGAACGGATATAATGACTCGAAGATCAGCTTGGAGTGGTTTACGCGTGTATTCGATGCTCAAACGAGTGATCGAGCTAACAGAAAGCCTCCTGTCCTAGTTTGCGATGGTTTTGGAACGCACGAGACCCTAGAAATCCTGGAATTCTGCTTCGCAAACAGCATTACTATGTGCCGCCTGCCGTAGGGTTAGATTCTAGATGCTATCTTAAACACCTAGATTCTATTAGTTATATAGCTAATAATGAAAACTCTTTTACACGAGAATCACTTAGGTATCGCACGGCTTACCGCTGACCAGCTAACTCGCTCTTACCTAGATCGAGTACTAGAGAGGTATAGCCGAATCTAGTGTAACATCAGCAATATAACAAAGCTTACCATGTAAGCCTATGCACTAAATACTAAAGCCTTTTCAAATTATATAATTATAAAGTCTAGCTCTTAGTGAGCGACTTAATTACAATATATTTGCGTACTTATTATGGCGGAAAACAGCGATTTAGACGAAGCTAGTTCTGTATTCGATTCCGACGCTATCACCGATTATAAAGAAAACCACCCAAGTCGACTTATACGAGACTTTTCTAGCCATAAATATAGCGGAAACCTTCGCCTATGTGCATATGGTACCTCTAGATATGCACTCGTTTTTAATGAGTGCTACTTGATTATATATAATCCAGACACGTCAACTAGTATCTCTTATGAGCTTAAAGCGACGTTATGGTGGAGGTCGGCACCGTATACATTTACTTCGATAATCGCCTATAAAGATGACTTTTTTATTATTATTATTATTATTATTATTGTTGTAGTTTAACGTCCTTTTTCAGCCCGAAGGGCTATATAAGACGTGTAGGGTTCTTAGGCCTACAAGTATCTAAGTAGGTTGTTTCTAGCTACAATATTTAGGAGGGGTTTTAACTAGATGAAGGTGAGGCTCGTAGCCTATTGGTTGGTAGTAGGGGGGGGGAGGATAGGGTGGGGGAGGTGTATGGCTACCTGTTACAGGTATTACTCCTCGTTTTCTGTGTTTCCCTTGTACCAGGCTTGTGTTCCAGCCTTTGTTTTTTCAATAAAGGTAATAGTTGCTTCTATACCCTCTTTTGTTTGAAAGAGGATAGGTAGTGATAGATCGCCTTCGCAGGCTTCTCTTAGT